TCTACGACATTTTTGTGAGGGGGGAACCGTGGAGATGATGAGGTCATCGCAGATGTGGCGCGCGACACATTACGCTTGTAATGGTGGGGCCGAATTCCAATGTCACAAAAAGTAACTGTTGAAAGTACTTCGCCTAAATAGCGTTGCACATGCATCAAAAATTAAAAACAAACAGCAAGGATGAAAAATAAAAAAAACAACACCGTGCTAGCTCTAGAAAAAAAATTGCGTGTTCACCACAACAAGTGATAATGTCAATCACAATGTACGTGGGCTGTATGTGACCCAATGTAAAGGAAAAGAACTTAGACAAATGCCGTGAATTCATACTGTTTGAACATAACAAGCTTTTTTCATCGTTCAAGTATGTAGAATATACTTATACTCCTCCGCCTCCCTTCATTTTGTTACCATTAACTTCTGCTAGGGCTAGCTTGTCTCGGTATGAGGTGGAGACATCTCAACGAGGGAAGATGGAAAGTTCAATGTTTTTTTTTCATTATACCAATAAAAAGTCAAACCAACATGAGAAAAATTAGGGTTTTCTCTCATGTTGGTTTGCTGGTTGAGCGACTCAAGCTAACTTTTTCTTCTCTACCATTGTTCTCCCGTCAATGAACTATATATAATAGAAAATGCTCTGATGCATAGCGAAGAAGGTCAACCTTGCCTTCCATCGTGAGGCAATCCGACATCCAGCCCCAGAGTAGTGTCATGCTAAGTGTTTCTATTCACTTAGGTGATTTCATATGTATAAATGCTGGTGCCATGGACACTTCCTGCTCAAGAAAAAAAGGCAGCTATAATATGACATGAAACGTGCCGTAATGGTAATGGGGTTTGATAGTGCAAGTAGAACAGTCATAGAGCCATTTGAACCGTCAACGACTCCGTACCAACAGGGGATCTTAGATAATCAGAAGTGAAAATAGGGATCCATGATGCAGTGAGAAAATGATAATTTTTGCGAAAGTGAAGATGCTCGCTAGATAAGAAGGCTAACTTGTCAGTTGTGTGAAGAAAAATTGACTAAAGATTACGTTACGTTACGCATCTCATTTGAATGAAACTTCGACCAAGTATCCCTCCCTTGTTCGAACATCCTCTCAATCAACTGAAACAAAAAACTACAAAGAAGAGAGTTTATCAACCCGCAAAGATCAAAAGGAGTGCTTGAAATGGAAGTACAAGAAATACAATCACGTGTTTTCTATCTAACACGATTTCAGCTTCCGATCAGACGACAACATTTCGGTTTTTTTGACTCGAATATGCTGAAGGGATTCTTTGACCTCAGCAATGCGAATACTCCGTTTGTGGGGGAACAGCCGAATGACACTCACTGTCGTTCGACTGTTTTTTCATCTCATAACAAAGACTGCCTTGATAATGCTAGGTATTTTTTAAGCGCGATGATCAATTTAATCAAAAGAATCACTTGAAAAAGATGATTGTTGTGGAAAAACTTCAACACTCGCCAACCAAGAGTTTAACAATAAGTGACAAGCGCAAGTTGGTGCCCGAAAGACGGGCAGTTTTGCTACAAATGCTACGCCTCGATCTCTGCAACTTCGGGCAGGTCGACTTCGATGAGCCGTGCTGAGAGAAATAGGGCAAAATGCGGAAGATGGTTGTTCGATTGTAGAAGAGAGTTTATCAACCCGCAAAGATCAAAAGGAGTGCTTGAAATGGAAGTTCAAGAAATACAATCACGTGTTTTCTATCTAACACGATTTCAGCTTTCGATCAGACGACAATATGCTGAAGGGATTCTTTGACCTCAGCAATGCGAATACTCCGTTTGTGAGGGAACAGCCGAATGACACTCACTGTCGTTCGACTGTTTTTTCATCTCATAACAAAGACTGCCTTGATAATGCTAGGTATTTTTTAAGCGCGATGATCAATTTAATCAAAAGAATCACTTGAAAAAGATGATTGTTGTGGAAAAACTTCAACAACTCGCCAACCAAGAGTTTAACAATAAGTGACAAGCGCAAGTTGGTGCCCGAAAGACGGGCAGTTTTGCTACAAATGCTACGCCTCGATCTCTGCAACTTCGGGCAGGTCGACTTCGATGAGCCGTGCTGAGAGAAATAAGGCAAAATGCGGAAGATGGTTGTTCGATTGTTTTCAAACAATTCACGAACTCATGTAAATTAAAAAACTACTTATATAATCCGCAATACGTGTGTGCGTGTGTGTATGTGTGTGCTTGCCCGATCGGAAAACCGTCACTCCTGGGAGACCTAGAACGTTCAAGTTTTAGAGCGTTTTGGGCGGCAGGATGGGAACATGATTGTAGATGATAGGAAGTGACAATAATCGATAGGAACTGATGAGGATGCTTAAAACACAAAAGCGACATGATCCGTGACTTCTTTCGAGTTATCCATTGAGGCTTGGCATTCTATGAGAGGGGTAAGATGTAAAGGGACCATCAATGATTGGTAACAGGGAACGTTAACAACTGATAGAGACTGATAACGAGCCATAAAAAGCAAGGGCCATCGAATCTACATATTCTTTCGCGTCAGCCGTGAAGCTTTCACAAATTTAAAGGTGGTGTGGAATGTGAAAAGACCATAAACGATTGTTGACAAGAGCCGATGGCAGGTGATAATAGCTGATAAAGAGCCATAGAAGACTATAGCTACCAATTCTGTAATGCACTTCCTGTTAACAATGAAACCTTGATATTTTAATAGGCGATGCAAAATGTGATAAGATTGTGGGTACTCAGGGAAGAAAACTGATAACAACTTATTGATGATAAATAATAACCTCTTGGAGCCATCATTCATCATCATTCGTTGGACAACCGTCTGAGAGATGCACCCTGCACTCCACTTCCATTCTGAGTCGTAGTGAAGGTTTGAATGCTTATTTAGCCCATATATGACTTGCGGTGGCCTGTCGATGTACAAGCCAGTACTTTCATCTTCCAAGAAGAGCCTGGGACCAATGAACCGATCTGAATGGATGAACGCTTGGTTGGCCCAGGCAAACATTGGCTCGCGATTGTGACGATGACCATGGTATGGGGTAGTGCGTTCCATCCGTTACACCACCTCCGCCCAAAGCTTTCATCGGTAGGTAATGAGCTGTCAAAAGCATGAGGCTACGCTCTTTGTCACTAAGAGAACCTCAGAACGAGGCAATGACAAGATTGATAACGGCTGGTGTCAGGAACAGATAGCAACTGACAAGTTCAATAACGAACCCTACGATTAAACGCGTGAAACCGCCATAATAATCGCATTGATAGTAGAGCCTTGACGGTGTGGCGTGGTATAGAGCACAGTGGAGTAGTATACAGCTGGTGAGAAGGACTGATAACAACTGATAACAACTGACAGGAGCTTGTAAGGACACCAACCAACTATCGTCTCTAGAATTTACGAAGTATTTATAATTACAGCTATTAGATTTCAACCGCCACCCACCCAGCAAGCTTTGTGACTCAGTAGAAATAACGGATTATCTTTGTTTCGATATCATTCGCGACAAAAATAATCCAGTCTCCAATAATCTGGGATTCTCACCCAGAACTATATCCGCAGAGGGAAGAAGGCTCACTGATAATGACATCTAATCAGTGTCTATTCTTACTCCACAACGTTTGTGAGTACTATTCAAGGCTTGGATAGGCTGACAGTTAAATCTTTGATGAGAAAATGCTTTCAAGATGAAAGCCGATCGAGACTTCTAATCATAGGCGTAAGCATCGGCACATACTGGACACCACCCACCCCCCTTGTTTATGGCGAGCTTCCCTCCTTTTGGGTGCTTTGTCAAGGTTGTAAAGCCTGTGTCAAATTCTGCGTACAGAAAAGCATTGTTTGTTTCGAAAAGGGAGTGGTGGGATACCCGATTGTTAGTGGAACTTTAGAGAAGGAAGATCATCGCACTACCATTTTTTCTCACTGGTTGACATATTCTTACTGACAACCCTAACGCCTTGTTTGTCGATGCCGCAACCCCGCGCTTTGATCTGCTCGTGACCCCACATCGATGCGGGCTCCCACATTTGAACCCTTGACGCTTGGACTGGCGGCTCTTTTGATTCCGTTCGGGTTGCTGTCTTCTGGGCCGGGATTCAACCCCCTCTCCTTGTCGTTTACCTTCCGGTTTATTCAGTTTTATTCCAGCTCTCTCGTTCCCTACCTGAGTATTTTTTTTGTCGATGCTTTGTGGAGTCGTCTTCACAGCCTTCTATATCGCCATAGTGTTTTATTGCACTATTTTGTGTGTCGGTTTAGTTGTTTTTTGTATCTCTGATTGAAAAGCAGTTGTTGTCTGTTTCTCTGTTGTCCGGGTGGATCCGGTCAGTGCCGGCCAACAGCCATCTACTTGAGGGCCGAAGCACTCCAGATCAGAAGTTCCCTGCATCCCATTTTGAGCTCAGCACGGTTTGAAGCAGGGCGAGACAGGAGCAAGTTTTCTTATTGGGGCCGTTCCTCCGCATAGCTAAAAAGGTCCCTGCATCCCGTTCTGGGTTCAGCACGGTTTGAAGCAGGAAAAAGAAAAATGGACTAGTCATCCTTTTTGGGGAGATATACAGCAGCCAGAGAGTGAGGCAGGATTTTCGAAAGATCCAGTCCACCTGGATCCCGTAGCTCACGGTCGAGAGCAGGGTAGGCAAGGCAGTCGACATCATATATAATATAATCGATATCAAGGGGGCAAAGGAAGCTAGTGTCCGGTGGTTAGCACCGTTGAATGGAAACCAGTTAAGCAGATCTTAACTGATAAAGGAGTAATCTAAGCTACTCACCTATATTGTAGTGGGGAAATGGCAAATGGCAGTGCGACATTGTATTCTCACACGGAGCTAAAGAATTTTGACTCAGTTCCCATCTTCGTTGATTGATATTCGTGTCGTCAATAACAATCGCGGCGGTGATCTTATCGATTAGATAAGTAAGATTCACTTTTGGTCACCAGTCAATTCCGATCGGTTATTGAGAACTTCGTCAGAATCAGAATTCTGTGAAGATATGGATATAGATGATCATGGAGAAGCTGGCGTGAATTTTTTCGACAGGTTTGAAAAGTTCAGCAGGAAGCTAATGACCCAAACAGCCTCAATGACGGTATCGTGAACTAGCAAGAACCATGCGAATTGACTACCCGATAAGGGATTCAGTAATAACATCAGTGAGTGAGTAAAGCGCACTAGTAAAAGGGTTAGCGCGGACGAGGGAGAAGGACAGGGGAGACCGAAGACCTGGGTGACAAGCGCTCAAGAGGAGTGGATCTCCACACTCAGGATGACGAGAATCAAGCCGTTATTAGGGTAACGCTTTCACTGCTCTTTATGACTCACGAAACGAGCACATATCAAATATTTCACTGCAGGACTCGCACCGGTCGACCTCGATGCGATCGACCTGCAAGATACTTAGGGAGTACGCCGAATGAACACTCAGAGAATGCGCTCAGAACTCGACCTATGTACATGGGACACAGGTGAGGACCGAATTTCTGAGTTTTCTGTGAATGACTATATTAGAACAATGTCGTTACCTGATGCTCAACCTTTTGAGAGAAACCTCATGAGTGTTTCAAAAGGTTTCTATGTTCGTATGAACTAAGTATCCGGAGAACAAATGGAAAGATTTAAGCCGATTACAATTATTCCAAGGCTTTTTGCGTAGAGACGCCCTCGCTATGTTCGGAAACTTGCCAGCAGAAGTTCGTGAAGACTCATTCGACGATATTATAGAAGCAATGAAAAAGCATATGCGAGTCGACGGTAATAGTGAGAGAATCAAAGCTCTGTCTGATCTGAGAAAGCTAGCAATAAGAGATGGGCAAATAGTGACAGAATTTTGGGTGCTAGAACGCTTAAGGAATAGAGCATACCCAGATGTACCAGCAGGAGTGACTGCGCTACAAGAAGCAGAAATTTTATGTAGGCAACTCGCAAATTGGACTGGCAGTTTTTGTCTAGCAGAGGCCTTAGAAACCAGCTCAACATCAGAAGTTTACGAAAAAGTGTAAAAAGCCGCTTTTCGGCTGGAAAGAAGCATCAAAACTCCAGAGGAGTGTAAAACTGACGAATCCAAACCGATTCATCGGGCCCAAACGAGGTGGGAGCATCGGAGCAATGCACCCATACCTTCTTCGATGAAAAGAAAAGCGGAAATAATAGAGAAGAACAAAACGCAAGAAGACACACTTATGGGGATAAGAAATAGTCAGCACAACAAGACTTCCTCGAAAAAAGATAAACAGTCATGTTTTAACTGCGGAAGACCCGGCCATTTCGCTAGGGATTGCCGCCCGCTGCCGTCCAACACTGGATATTACTCCGCCAACGAAAGAGTAGTGTAGATTCGCCTCAGCTTCAGCCGCAGCGCCTCGCAATGGAGCCAGAGTTATCGTTCTGGCGCCATTACGTGATGATGCGGCTTACGCTCAAAATAAAATCGAGATCAATCAGGCCGTGGATCTCGCGAAGAAGTCAGCTGCTTTAATATCACGTAATATCACAAGCATGACTCCGTCGATTGAGAACGGCAGCGAACCTTCCGGTCCTGCAGTACGCCCGAAGAGACGCAGCTTCAAAGCGTGCTCGACCGAAACAATATCCGAGTACCTGGAGGCCATGATGGGATACATAAAATCAGAAGCGCGACACCTCGCGTTAATTGAGAATTCGATGAGGTCAGCAAGAGCTGAACGTGTGCTTCGAGGAAAAGAGAGAGAAGCGCAGACTTGAAGGATACCATCATCGTACATTTAGGAACTTCAACCACTCCCTTTCCAAAACCGGTCAACCATACAAAAGACATCGCCAACGTCCACTTTCCCATGCATACCAATTCCGTCGTGGAAAAGGACCACGCGGGTCCGGGATCTTCTTCCCAAAAACGATGTCCTAATAGCCGTACCCGATCGCGCGCATTCGCGCTGTGAAGGGGAATGTTTGAATTTCCAGTGGAATCGCTTGCCGTGGGAATTCGGGGAGAAGTTCCCTTATCCGGTTCCCCCTGACGTCAATCAAGCGCCAAAGCGGCGAGGATGCCGCTTCACCCGGCGGGGAAGATATCACACTACACTTGTTTCCTTACTGGTTAATTTATTCTTACTGAAGACCCTAACGCCTTGTTCGTCGATGCCGCGCTCCTCGCGCTTTGTTCTGCTCGTGACCCCACCTGGATACGGGCTCCCACATTTGAACCCTTGACGCTTCGACTGGCGGCTCCTTTGATTCTGTTTAGGTTGCTCTCCTCTGGGCCGGAATTCAACCCCCTCCCTTGTCGTATATCTTCCGGTTACTTCAGAATTTTATTCCAGCTCTCTCGCTCCCTACCTGAACCTTTTTTTAAACTCTTTGCTAGTGCTTTCTGAAGTTGTATTCACAGCATTCTATATCGCCACAGTATTTTGTGCATCATTTTGTGCGTCGTTTCAGTTGTTTTTTTTGTAGCTTTGATAAAAGAAACAACTGCCGTCTGTTTCTCCGTTGTCTGGGTGGACCCGGTCAGTGCCGGCCAAAAACCACCTACTAGGTCATTGATAAAATCTGATCAGTGCCGGAAGATACGGATGGTGGACGAAGTATAAGTCAAATTCAATGGATAACTGGTCTTGAAAGGGTGCTCATAAGAAGAAATTGAATATCCACACAGAAAATGGAACGATCATTGCAACAATGTGCCATCACGAGCATCGAATGGCATTGTCAACGTGATCAAAGTCATCTTAGGCTGGTATCATACATCAGTACAAACACTACGCTTTCAACCTCACTGTAGAGTGAATGGAGTTGGCAGAGTTATATGAAACATTCATAAACTCATTCGCATCTCTATGAACACGAGATGTCATAATTGCGTCTCATTGAAGTAGCATCTGATATTAAACCCGGCATGTAGCGAATGCTACTTTGTATATAGAGAGGTTTACTTACTTATTGAATTTTATCGTATTATAGTTACATCTGATTAGTATTGCTTTCTGAGCCCATAGCTAGTGACTAATTCTAGGTTTTACAAGACATGGCACATTCCATAGCCA